GAGCAAATGCCATTTTCAGTTTACTTTTCGAAATTTTACTTGGCTGTGTCATTTCCATCAATGCATTTTTGCTGTTTGCAAGACAGGCCTGAAATCGTCACGTCAGATGATTAGACGTTAGATGCATGAGATCTTACATTGCAATACTGAGGAAGTGTGAGACTTAAGTTGAAATTAAGTAGCAAGAGAATCGGGACTAGAAATCCAGCCCTACCACATGACATACCCAAAGCTTATCTCCAAGGGCACATAGCTAATGTGGCTGCTGACCACAACACCTGTTTAAGTTACTGGGAAGAGAAATTTATGGTATCCTCTTCTCTGGCAGCTCAGTGACTCAGGCAATAGAGTAATGGAAAAGTGAGCAGCTTAAAAGGACTAAAACCTGAAGCTTGGTTTGGTTCAGGGGGATATTTTTGCTTCTTGTGGTAGAAGGCACCTGCTTTTTCTTAAGAAAAAAAATATTCTCAGCCCTTATTCATAAACCACTGAGATGAAAGCCATTAAGATAAAAGTCAAATCCATCAATATCTGAATGGGAAACTAAGTTATACAAATGTGCAGTGATATGAAAATTTACAGGCTACATGTTTATGAAAGAAGAGAGACAACAGTATAATAATCTTATTCCAAACTGGCATAGCTTTATTATTTACTGAGAAAGTTCCTGCTTTAAGACACGTTTTCAATATATCGCAACAAGCTGCCATAGAATATCACTATTTATGGCAAGTGTGGGAAGCCTTTGGCCCTCCAGATGTTGCTAAACTACAACTCCCACCACCCCTGACCATTGGCCATGCTTGCTGAGGCTGATGGGAGTTGTATTTAAGCAACATCTGGAAGGCCAAAGACTGCCCACGACAACACCTGGAGGGCACCCTATTGGCTAACCCTGGTGTGGGGCCTCATTTAAAGACTGATGTGTAAACTGGAACTAAATATCAAACATGCACTTAACTGTCGTTTTTATTTCTGTTGTGTTTTGGCAAAGCATTTTTGATGTTTTGGTACTTTTCACTTTTCATCTTTTCAGGACCTAAGAGATCGTCTGTGGGATATCTGTGAAAACAGGAGGGATGAAGCTCAGCAAGAGCGTAATGATATCATGAGCGATGGCTGGCTGCCAGACCGATTGGCACTTCTGATGAACCACATCTTTTCACTTATGCAGGTCTAGCAATATTATGTTGTTGGTGAAATTTTTTTTAATAGTCAAAATGAGGGAGGGGCTGACTTTTACACCGATGTGTGTTTTGAATCCTTGACTGAAGCTATAACCTAACTAGGCCATTAGCGAAACATATTTAGCTACTCTATGGCTATGAGCAGTATCCTCTGCTGTGCAAATTGAAGAGTTAAGGTCTGGTAAGCTGCTCATTGCTTGTATTCTCATTGTGCTACTGGATCCAGATGTAGCTTCACACATAGGGATGTAAGAAGGCATCTTCTCCCATTCTGCCTGTGTTTGTCACATGCAGCATCGTTTCCATTCATCTGCAGTTTGTCTTCCTCCAAAACCTGTTATTTATCTCACTGTCCACTATAGCAAAACATTACTACCTTATTCCACCCCATTCATTTTAGTGCAAAAGTGGGGCAAATGCAATCAGTTAGGTATTGTTTGGGGACTGAAAGCAACAACAATGGCAAATGCCAATTGCATTCACTGGATTGGTTTCCTTTCTTGACATGGGAAGCGAACACCAGCAATTTCTGATCCCGTTTCTGCTTTCATCTGAATTCCCCAGCATTTGTATTCATGCATCAGTGTTTATGCAGCTTGAGACTGGTTTGTTTATTTACCAAAATTTGTGTTGCACTTAGCTTATAAGTCTCAAAGCAGTTTACCAAAAAAAAAAAAAGTTGGGAAATGAAATTCCGATCGCCATCGCTGTTCAAATCAGCATGCATTCCAGAATTCATTCTATGTAGTGCAAGGCCAAACTGGTTGCTGGTTCGTAGCTTTTGGCTCAGTTCTTTCTCATTTTGCTTCTGCCTTCCTTTGTCTTGCTTTTGCTTCACTTTGTCTAGCCTTGCCTTGATCCCAGGACTTGACCCTCTGGCTTGGCAGTAGACGGATCTGACATAGAGCTAAAGAGCACAAGGCCTAAACCTTTGACCTGGTGTGCTTTTCTTCACAATTGGATAGCAGCACTCATGTTGATTGGTTTGGGGTTCCCCCCTCCCGACACACACACCTTTGAGACTGTGGCTTTGTGAATTTTCCCATGAAAACACAGCACCGTTTTTGCTTTTCAGTTATATATTTAGAGGCTTCTGTTCTAATAATAAATCAAAAGTATGACAGGTGCATAATGCTTCTTGCCTGCACTTTGAAGGAAGAGATGCTCTGAACTTGCCAAAATCCGCCTGGCACAACTACTCATTTAAGCATATTTATAGACTGAAAGTAAGGAGTTTGCATAAATCTGACATAGGGCCAAAGCAGACCTTACAGGGCCACCATTCACATGTGAGACCCATTTGCATAAAAAGCAGGGGAAAGAACATATTGGGAAAGGGAGCTGAACCTGCTTGCTGTGCTTTATCTCAACGGCTCTACATCCTCCTCCATTTCCAGCCGTGATAGCAGAAATAAACAAGGAAGGGAGAAAAAGTGGAGCAACAGGGAACATAAAACATAGGAGGAAGAAGGGTTCAGCACCTCCCATTTGCTCTGCTTTTACAAGCAGATCCACCTCCTGCTTTATATGTGAATGGGACAGACACATATGTGAATGGGCCAGTATCACGTTTATATGTGGGGAAGATCATAGCTCAGTGGTACAGCATCTGCTTTGCATGCAGAAGGTCCTAGGTTCAATTCCCGGCATCTCCAGTTAATTTTTTTTTAAATAAATTTTTATTAATTTTCCAAACACATAATAAAAACAAACAATACACAAAACAAAAACATACAAACATATAAACATGTATAATTTCATAATCTTATTTTCATGCACCTTACTTCCCGGACTCCCCCATACCTCCCCTTTTCTGCATCCTTGTTTTACACTTCTTCAGCAACCCTCCAATTAACTAATTATTTAATTCAATTTCATTAAATTCTTTTTTCTTTAACTTATTGATTACAGCTGCAATTCTCTATTTCTTAACACTTTAACATCTTAGCACTCCTCGATTTTACAACAATTTTTAAGATAAATTTTAAATTTCTTCCAGTCTTCTTCCACTGTCTCTTTCCCCTGGTCACGGATTCTGCCGGTCATCTCTGCCAGTCCCATATAGTCAATCACCTTCGTCTGCCATTCTTCCAGAGTGGGTAGTTCTTGTGTCTTCCAATACTTTGCCAGGAGGATTCTTGCTGCTGTAGTAGCATACATAAAAAACGTCCTATCCTTCCTTAACACCGATTGGCCAACCATGCCCAGGAGAAAAGCCTCAGGTTTCTTAGGAAAGGTCCATTTAAGGACTTTCTTAATTTCGTTATAGATCATTTCCCATTTGCTCTGCTTTTACAAGCAGATCCACCTCCTGCTTTATATGTGAATGGGACAGACACATATGTGAATGGGCCAGTATCACGTTTATATGTGGGGAAGATCATAGCTCAGTGGTACAGCGTCTGCTTTGCATGCAGAAGGTCCTAGGTTCAATTCCTGGCATCTCCAGTTAACACTGGGAGGGAACCCTGCCTGAATTCCTGGAGAGCCACTGGCAGTCAGTGTGGACAATACTGAGTTAGATGATAATGATGATGATGATAAATAAATAAATAAATAAATAGATTTTATTTATACCCCACCCTTCCCAGCCAAGACTGGGCTCAGGGCGGCTAACAACCAATAATAAAAACAAATTGATTGAAATATAACTTAAAAAACAAGATTAAAATACAATTAAAACATTAAAACATTGGAAAACATTAAAACAGATGGACCAGTGGTCAACACAGCATAAGGCAGCTTCCTATATTCCTCTGTGTGAATGGGCCAGCATGGCACATTGTTTGGCCCTCTTTTTTATGAGCAGAAGAGTGACTTCTAGGGCCATTGTAGTTATCCTTTGCTACCTGCAGTGGCGTAGCGTGGGTTGTCAGCACCCGGGGCAAGGCAAGTAATTTGCACCCCCTAACCCGTGGATTTGAGCCCCCTAACCCGTGGATTTGCGCCCCCTAACCTGTGGATTTGCCCTAACCCCAGATGTTGCGCCCAGTGCGGCCGCCCCCCCTGCACCCCCCACGCTACGCCACTGGCTACCTGTCCCTTAACCTGAGGTAAGAGAATGGGAGCAGGCCTTTCACATTCAGATTTGCCTCCCCACCCTCTGCTAAGTTCCAATCATGGCTAGTCATTAGGTTTCCCCCATGCCAAACTTGATTAGCACAAACTAGGGTTCGTTCCTCACCAGGGTTTGAAGGTGGCTGCAAGTGAGGTTAGTAGCAAACCCTGGTTAGCAGTAACCTTGGTTAAAGTCAGTGCACAACAGGGCATGTTTTAGATTCATGGTGGGGAGAATTAACATGGGAGATGAGAAGCAAAGGGATAGGGATAGGAGAGTACAGTCTTTTGGAGAAACCCTCAACCACAGTTTCCAAAAGTTCCTCAAGTTTCTGGGGGAAGGAATGCAGCAGTTACAACTGTATAGTTCTGGTATGGGTAACATAGCGAAGGACTTTCTTGGTTGTTGTTAAAGAGAACATTAGGATTCTTTGGCTCAAGCTAGAGAAGGAAAAGCAATACCCCCATATCTCTTCCTCCAGTTGTGAAAAAACACATAATGGGATATCATTGCATCACATAACACTTTGAAGTTACAAGTGAAAGGGTGGGAATATGTGGCTGCTGCACAATCATGGTTTGTCCTCAGTTGTGTCTTTAGTATGCTTGGTCCTAAAATTGTTTAAATATTTGAGTCTATCCCCCCCCCCCTGCTAAAGCATGTTGATGTTTTAGGAACTGCTTTGTGAATTATCCATGCAGATAAGGTGGCAGGAAATACTTGAATAATTTCTTGTTTTGTTTTCCTGGTATATCATGAAGAATGAACTAGACCGTTTCCAGGATACCAAGAGGCTTTTGCATGACTACTATAGAGGGATGGAAGGCAAAATCCCAACGGAGACCAGCAATGAGTTTACCAGAATACCTTTGATAGATCTAACTGATAAAGAACAACCCATGGAAGAGGCCAAGACTAGAATGTACATTTAAAATTGTGGTATTGTAATAATCACTGGATGTGGGGGGAGGAGAGAGGAAGGGAGAATACAACTGATTTGGAAATAAGCTATGTGCATGAATGGGGAAGTATAAATAGCTCAGTAGTCAACCCCACACCTCCCATTGAAAAGATTCCAGGTTTAATCTCTGGCATTTCCAGTTGCAAAAAGCGATCTTAGATAGCAGATATTGGTAAATACTTCTGGTCAAGACCTTGGAGAGCTGTTGCTGGTGGTCAGATGGACCATTGGTCTGACCTTGTGTAAAGTGGCTTCTTATGTTCCGATAGTACACCTGTGAGAAGAATTAAAGGTGACAGCTTTAGGTATTATGGTTGTAGTGAAGTAAATAGTTACACTCTTCGTGTAATCGACATAACTGTGAATTCATGAGAATTAAAAGTCTGGAGAGAGGTCAGGCGCATGCATCCTATACTTACCCTCTCCACCTATCATGAATATATGCACACTGCACACTCATGCACAATGCATTGAGCTGTGTGCACATTCACAAACACACAAAATACCTGTGCTTTGCTCCTGGACACCGGGTTGCTAAAGTGCAAATTCAAACTCGGATTAGATCACCAAATGAACACAGGTACAGCATCCTGTTTGCTTGCATAAAGACAGAATACCAAGCAGACACCTTTCCCCTAAGGTCAGGTCTCTGTCCTTGCAAGCCAAGGGTCATCACCCTCTTGCTGCCCTCTCTTTCCCCCAGTGGCTTGAGTTCCCTGGAAGGAGGGATTGGTTGTTATGCCACTCTGGGAACTGTAGCTTTGTGAGGGGCACAGGGAGTCTCCTAATACCTCTCAGAACCCTTACAGTTTCCAGGATTCTTTGGGGGAAGCCATGACTGTTTAACGCGGTATAAAACTTCTTTCAATGTAAGGTGCAGATATGGCCTAGGTTTTACAAGTGCCATCAGGGAACGAGAGTAAGATTTGGGTTCCTTCCCACCTCACCTCCAACAGTACAGGTAGGATGTTGAGTGTAAACCTTACATAGATGAGTATGGGTCACTATCCATCCGCTTTAAAAAAAGAGGAAAGGGATAGATAATTTGGCAGGGACTTCACCCATCTATGTGCCTTGGTTTATACTAAATGTCCTACACATAATGGGAGAATGTTGAAACTTGAGGTTTCTCCCATGCACTATTTCTATGCAGAACGTAAACAAGAGGCCTGCATGGGAACCAGCTTGTAATTTTTTGTATGAGACCTTTATAATTAACAGAAATATTCTCTTAAAGAGCAAATAAACAAATTTAAGTTTTGAGAAATGCAGAAGTAAATCCGTTGCCTCTCTCTCTCTCTCTCTGTCTTAAGAATTCCTCTGAGTGTTCACAGAGCTGCTTCTCCAGAACCAAAGGACAAGATGAAAGCAATTCCAATCAAGATCAAGGATGATGTGTTTTCTGAAAGCATAATCTTTAATTTTGCCCCAGAAGAAAAACAGATTACTGAGATGTGGCACAATATTGTAGCCACGATATCCAACATGGTAAGAAAAGCCACAAGTATTAAAAGAGTTCAAACAGAGATCTGGATACAGCCATTAAGAATGTAAGAAGAGCTTGCTGGATCAGGCCAGTGACCCCTTCATAGTCCAGCATCCTGTTTGCATAGTGGCAAGCCAGTAGGAAACCCGCACTCAGGAAATTCTGCAGTTTCCAACATGGAGCATCCTGCCTCCGACCATGGAGGCAATTTGGAAGCATCCTGATAAATGTTTTGCTGACTCCAGTGCAAGATTACTGCAGTGTTCTCTGTTTAAGGATTCCCCTGAAGACAGAAACTCTGATTTGTGCAAATTTTCACAGTTTTAATTGGGCATTCTCACCTATTATATAAATGTGCTATAGCACTCTTCAGATAATCCCTTCAGTATCTCAAAAAGGCATCTCTATAGAGAATTTGGTGATAAAAAAAATTCTTTGAAATTTGATCAGTTCCTTACATGATGAAACAGTGTGAAAGTCAAATTCATCACTGAGCAGCTGTAGTTGTCCCCCCACCCTAAATCATACATAAATAATTTTTGACTTGGCTGCAGAGATCCCATGAGTGGAATGCCGCTGAGCGATACTCTCACTGGCAGAAGGGGAAGGGGAGGCAATTTTCACTGATTCCCCTTGAAGCCCCATGCGCCTCTCCGAAAATCTGTAGAAAGTTGGTGAACCTTTCAGAGCAGTACAAGTAGAAACAGCAAAAATCAGTCTTCTCTCCCCACTCTCTCCATCAGCAGGAGCCCCCACTGGATTGAAGACGCTTCCATTCATGGAAGAGCAAGTCTGTATCCATGCCCTGTACTGTATGTTTCTCTGTCTCTTATTTAGGTAAGGGATAGCCAAATATTCTCCAAATATTTATTGGACTCTGGCTCCCATCAGCCTCAGCCAACACTGCCAAAGGGCAGAGATTATGGGAGAGTTGGAGTCCAGCAAAGTTTGGAAGACTGCAGATCACCCATAATCTAGATAATGTGCATTTGTGACGGATGGTCTGTCTTATTTATTTTATTTATTTATTAGGTTCATATACCACCCTTCATCAAAACATCTCAGGGTGATTCACAAGACAAAAATTCAAGATAAAAACACAAATGTGTAGTTAAAGCAAAAACAACAAAACAATAGCTCCCTCTCCCACAAACACATTTAAAAGGCTGTAGAATATTAATCAGCCAAAGGCCTGACTGAAGAGGAACGTTGTTGCCTAGCACTTAAATATATATATAATGAAGGCACTAGACAAACCTCCCTGAGGAAAGCATTACACAATGGGGAGCCACTGCAGAAAAGGCCCCGTTCTCGTGTTGCCACCCTCTGAACCTCACATGGAGGAGGCACATTAAGAAGAACCTCAGATTATGAACACAGAGTTTGAGTTGGCTTATATGGGGAGAGGCAGTTCTTATATAAGCCCTATGGGTCTCATCCAAAGAGTCCCTTACGTGCGCAGAAGGCTGTTCTCTTATTTCAAGGGAACGTCTCCAGTATCTGCCCATTCATTCTGTGGTTGAAGGCCCCATGCTACAGCCTGTGCCTTTCCAGAATGATGTAAGAGCAGAAGAAGAGTATGGGAGCAGTTATATTAGATTCCCACCAGCCACCTGGAGCAACTTGGGGACTGGAAGGAGAAAGTTCAGAAGCCACCGCATGATCTCTGGATCCCAACCTATAGAGAAGTAATAGTTTATAATGTTAAGTGGCTGGTTTCATAACGACATGCTGGTTATTGACAATCATGAAACAACGATCGTTTTGCTCAAAATGCTCTTGCTGCTTTTTTACTTAAGTGTGACCCTTTAAAATTAAGGTTACGGCTGAAATACAAGCAAAAGAGGCGGAGGAAGAAAAAGAACGGCTTCAGCAAGAAATGAAAGAAAAAGAGCGCCAGAAATCTTCCCAAGCAGAAAAGAAGGGGAAAGAAGGGAAAGGGAAAAAAGGGAAAGGAGGAAAGGAAGCCAAAGGTGGAAAGGATGCCAAAGGAGGGAAAGGAGGGAAAGATGCCAAAGGAAAAGATGCCAAAGATGCCAAAGGCAAAAAAGGAAAAAAAAAAGGTAAATGAGATGCAAGGTAAAAGAGAGGGAGGGTTATGGATTAATACAATTGTGTTTGATTATTTTTAAAAAAACAAACTTTGCATACCCAGCAAAACAGAAGAGGGGAGTTAAGGTATAACCCTTACTGGAGCCTGTACACACATTGGTCCTCCTTTTCAGGAGTTAGTTCAGGGACAGGGAACCTGTGGTTGCTCACATGTTGCTGGACTACAACTCCCACAATCCCAGGGGTGTAGGAAAGGGGGTGCGGGGGGTGTGGGCCGCCCTGGGTGTCATCCTTAAGGAGGGTGAAAAAATGGCACACCACGGGGGGCGGCACTCACCGTGGGGCCTGGACTGCAGTGTGCCCAAGCCACGTGTCTCTCCTGCGAATGATGCGGTGGCTTGGGGTCCCGTGCTGCCCGAAATGGCAGCGTGGGGCTTGCGTCTGCCAGGCGGCCACTGCTGCGCCCCATGCACGGATCACCACAGCGCCCCTGTGCACTGATCACCCCACCCCTGTGGGTGGATCACCCCATGGGTGGATCATCCCCGTGGGTGAATCGCCCCACCCCCACTGCTCTGGGTGCCAGAGCAGTTAGCTACACCCCTGCACAATCCCCAATCATTTGCCAGGCTGACAGGGACAGATGGGAGTTGGAGTCCAACAACTAAAGCAGTCAGGTTCTGGTCTAGAAAGGACATCTAAAATTAAGGTAATCTACAAGCTCTAACTATGCTTCACTACTGTATTGGAATACAGTATGCATAGGAGATGTATTGCTTAATGCATGGTTTTATTATGGCTGTCAATTTTCCCTGTGTATTTATGATTGGTTGCAAGCTCACTGTGGCTGGAAAACAGCATACAAATGTAATAAACAGTAACTTCTGGAGGGTCGCAGGTTCCCCACTCCTAAATTAGACTGTACCCAAAGATCTTTCCTGGTCTGTTGTCAAAGAGATGTCTTACAGTTCAAAAAGCAAAGCCAAAAAGGCAGCATTTGACACTTGATGTTATAGATGAACGCTGTTTGGTATTTTGGCATTTTGTATCTTGTCGTGTTACACTTTTGTGGTATACAGAGTCAAACCATTCGTCCATCTAGCTCTTTAGGACAGGGGCCTATCTGGAGATGCCAGGGATTGAACCTGGAACCTTTGGCATGGAAACCATTGAGCTATGCTGCTTCCCAAATGGGCATCCATGCCATCTGACCGAAGCAGCAGCAGTAAGGGCAGCAGAAACACTTGGGGAATCAGGGAGAGAGGTTTGCCAAGGACCATTTCAAGGAAGAAGGAAAGCCCAGGACCACAGTGGTTAGCATCAGCCCAGGGGAGGAAGGTCTGCATTAATGAAAAGGTCATAAGCCCAGCGCTCTATTTTAGAGATGGATGTTATTCCCCTTATGACCAGTTCTGCAGATCTAGAGAGGCAGCAGCGCCACCGCAAGGGAGCTGATGTCCCCCCTCCCAAGTGGTGCCAACAGCCACTGATCCTGAGAGTTATGAGGCCTGGGATCCGTTGATTCCATCTGCCCAGAATAGCCAGACCAGCGGGTAGACTGGAAGAGGACTCTGAAAAGCATCTGAAATCCCACAGTAGCTCCCTTTTGCAGCCTTAGCCCTTCTGAAGAGATACAGCCGCTGGATGTTAGACCAGGTTTGTTTGATGCCGACAACACCTGATGTTCTGAAGAGAGGCAGCTTCAAAAATAAGGCAATGTCACCTTCCTTGATATCTGATTTGTTGGGTTGCATTCAATCAAGTTTTAGTCGGGGCAGACCTATTGGAATGAATGGACCGCAGTCATGTTCACTAATTTCAGTGTGTCTACTCTGAGTAAAACGTACTTGAATGCCACTCATATGTTGTTATGGCATACTTTGAGAACTGTCATGGTTGAATAGTGGTTATACTATTGTAAAATGAAGAAATAAGGTTCATTCTTGGAATATCAAAATCGCTAGGGCGACCTTGAGCCATTTACCATATTTCCTCCTAACCTACCTTACCAGGGGACAACCAGATATCTGTTCTGCACTCAGGAAGGTCCTACATGTGAGTAGTTCATGCATTAAGTTTAGGAAGACCTGAGTGTGCTGGTTGCATGATGTAACTGTCCTGAAATGCTTTCCAAGCATTTTTTGTTTATTCAATTAATAGCTTGAGTTTTGTCCAAAGAGCTCAAGAAGGCATGTATCGTTACCTCTCACCCTTCCCTTTATCCTCACCATCACCATGTGAGGGTGGGAGCCTGAGAAAGACCCTGGGCCACCCAGGAAGCCTTATGGTTGGATGGGGATTTGCACCCAGGTCTCCCCAGTCCCAGTCTGATGCTGCAATTGCTATGCCACACTACATAATGATCAAGTGAAGCTGTCTCTTGTTGCCTCTAATTTCAGATCCTGTTTCTGAAATGTTGACAAGTTCAGTTTTACCTACATTTTGAGTTGCGTTCATTTTGTGAAATGCCCAGTTAGGCTAACAGTAGTGTAAGCATTATGCATACAGAAATTTGCAGATTCTTTTTTGTGTGTGTAAAAATACGTGCTTCTCCTTGCAGCCTCTCATTCTCCACCAGAGCCAACGCCAACACCAATTCCTTTATCCCCGGAGGAACTAAAGAAACTAGAACTAAGGCTTAAAATGAAGCAGGAATATTTTGCTGCGCTGGAGCATGAAGGTATGCATTAAATTTCAATCAGGTAAATTCAGAAACAGCCCCACATTTGCAATTAAGCTGGAATTAAGCTTAAGCTGAAAAATAGTAGGAAAGAAAGACCATGGATTGCTTTAAATATTCAAAATGCTACAGCAGCATTTGCTTGAACGTGTTGTGGGCATTATGCTTAACCATTTTTAACACTATCCATTATTTACTGCCATAACCCTGGATAAGATTTGAAAGGTTGCTTTGCAGGTTGCTAAACTAGGCCTTCCCCCAGGAAGGTGTATATAATATGACATCGGAGAAACTTGCTTGTTATCGCCTTGTTACCGTAGAAACTGGGGGGGGGGGCAGGGAAAACCACCATAACCATGGTTTGCTTGCTGCAGCTGAAATATTTAAGCATCGATAATGAAATCCATGGTTTGCAAAACCATTTCAACCCATGGTTTCACTTCACACTTGCAACGTTTAGGTATTACGATATAATGCTAACTAATTAACTAACAACGGTTAAGGGAAACTAATTTTGGCAGTAGCTTCAAGGCAGACAACTAGTAGAAGTGAATGGCCACAAATACATTTATACAATTATTAAGACAATTTTAACCCACCATTCACTGGGTGACCTCATGGTGGAATTATTTAAAGCAGCAGCAAGCCAACAAAATGAGAAGTAAAGTATATTGAATAATAATAATAAAAATTATTCCAACATAAAGCCACAACAGTAAAGCAATGAAACTGGCATCCTGTGCAAGCCCAGCAAACACATTTTAATCTGGCGCCGGAATGTCAGCCGTGTTGGTGCCTATCAAACTTATGGGGTGAGGCCATTACACAATTGTGGAGCAATTTAGGTGACTTTAAAATCAGATTAGGGGGGGGGTGCTGGCCATGGAGTAAGCAGCAGAAACTGAGAGCTCCCAGATAAAATATTTTAAAAGACAGATTCCTCACTTTCTATTTTTATTATTATTACTTTGTTTAAAATAATAAAATAGAATAATAATGCAGATTAGACAAATTCCTGGTTGTTAAGGCTGTCCATGGCTGCTTGTCACTAATGATGGATATATACTAACTACAGGATCCGAAGCATTGTGCCCTAGAATACTGGGGAACAACTGTGGGAGACGGCTATGGTGTCCATGTCTTGCTTGAGGTTCACTATAGGCATCTGGTTGGATGCAGTGGAAACAGGCTGCTGGAAAAGATTAGCTTTCGGTCTCAACCAGCAAGTCTCTTCTGTTCTTCACAGGGCTCTTACTTGGAGCAGCCCCGCTTTTGTAGACCCATCGGATCAGACTGCCAGTTTCCCAAATAATGCCTAATCCTATCTCTTGATTGCCAGACCTGTAAAACCGTGTTTGTATTCTTACTTGTTCTTAAATGATTTCTTAAAACAGCGGAGGCTGCAAAATCTCGTCTTGAGCTGTTGAAAGCCAAAGCACTCGCCTTCACTGAAGATCTGCAAACGAAAGCAGAAGTAACATACAGGAATATGGAAAAATGGCTTGGGGAGAGATTCTTGGCTGAAATGTCAAGGTAATGGTTAATTTTGATGAAAGCATTATAATAATGGAATCATTGAACTGTAGATTTGGAAGGGACCCTGAGGTAATGCGGGAGGTTTTAGGAGGAAAGAGGAATTTCGTGCAAGCCTCTACAGGAGCAGGTGAGGTGGTGTTCAGGTTGGAGTTGCACAGAGGCGCACTCAAGGCCAATCTGGGTATTCTATTATATTCAAAATATTCCTTATATTCTCCTTCATTTGTATACCTGGAAGAAACCCTCCTGATCTTGATGTATATACTCATTTAGTGTATTTTTCAATCTGTTAGCTTATATGTTTGCAAACAACTTGTAATCATTGTTTAACAGAGAAAGAGGCCTTTAGTTTTTAATTTGCATCTTGTTTTGGGATTACTGTGATATAGGCCTCTTTCCATGTTTCTGGGATTTCACCTGTAATCAACTCAAGGCCAATTTGGTGCCCTTGGCTGGCATCTGCCACCACCTCGCTGCTCCCCCTTCTTCTCTCAGTAAGCAACATTTCTGCGGAGAAGCTATTGCTGTGGCTCTGTGTCACACCAGGCAAGCTGCTCCTGGTTAAGCTTTTTAACCCCCCTGCCACTGTTTCTTAAATCCTTACAGTGTCGACATATTAACCGAGGTTGCCCGCCACCACATCGAAACCTCTACCAAGATCCAGTATGAATTAGTTCTGGAAGGGGTTGAGTTTTACATTAACGGTGATGTCAAAGTCTTTCCAGATCCTCTTCCTCCACCTCGCCCTCCATCGGTAGAAATGCCTACAAATGGTACTTTAACTATTTCGCAGCTTAGCACGCTTCATAAGCAGTTTCTGCAGGTGGCACCTAAAGGTAAGAAATCACCTTGTTTTCGAAAAGTTGTTTATTTATTATTTATTTCCCCAAATTATTTGTATCCTGTTCTACACACACACACACACACACACACACAGTGGCTTACAGCGATCAATAACAAGATGATCTCTGCCATTAAATACTGACTTGAGATTTAAAGCTACTAACAGTTTTATATCCCTGCTAGCAGTAATTCTGGAACTTCTTACAATGGTGTGTTCCAGTATATGGAAATGCTTCTTTCAATTATAACTAAGTGCAGCGTCAAACGCTCGTGAGCCATGTAGGTTACCTCACACATTAACAGTCCTCTCCTATACATCAGGCTTCCTCAAACTTGCCCTCCAGATGTTTTGAGACTACAATTCCCATCACCCCTGACCACTGGTCCTGGTAGCTAGGGATCATGGGAGTTGTAGGCCAAAAAATATCTGGAGGACCAAGTTTGAGGAAGCCTGCTCTACATCATGGGTCACCGATTTGGGGCTTTCCCTGGTGCCTACAATGTCCCATCCTCTGGCTATCCTCCTTCTTAAATTACTCTGGAAAGATGCCTTCCTTAGTCAATATAATACTTTTTACAGTCAATATAATACTTTTTACTTTTTGTGGCACTGGGAGCGATTGGGGCAGCAGTATTACAGTTGAGGAGGGGAGAGTTGTGGCCTGCATGTTGCACTCACATCAGTTTATCCACTTTGCAAATGTGACCACAGGACCAAGAAGTTTGGAAACCCCTGCTGTACATGTTTACTTGGGAGTAAGCCCTACTTTGCTTCTTTAGCGCTTGCTCCCAGGAAAGGTTGAGTAGGATTCCGAGCTACATTTAGAGCATTAAATACTTTATTAAAAGGTTGTTAATTGAACATTCTTCCTGATTTGCTTTGCACAGTGTGTGCAGGGAGGTCAGGCGACATCAGCCTGGAAACAGGCTGTAAAATGTGCTTTTTCGAAACTCATAGATATGCCCTTATATATTGACACTGACCTGGTAACAACATACCATCAGCATTTAGCATCAAAACATCTATCCCTGCCTTCTTCCCAAAGGAGACTGTGGTCTATTAAATGGTTTCCCAACTCGGTGCCCTCCAGATGTTTTGGACCACAATTTCTATCATCCCTGATAGAAATATGACTGGAGCTGACAGAATGGCACCAGGTTGGGGAATGCTGGTCTGTAGCAAGCTATCTAGAGTAAAGGTAAAGGTAAAGGGACCCCTGACCATTAGGTCCAGTCGTGGCCGACTCTGGGGTTGCGGCACTCATTTCGCTTTACTGGCGAGCCGGCGTACAGCTTCCGGGTCATGTGGCCAGCAGGACTAAGCTGCTTCTGGCGAACCAGAGCAGCGCATGGAAACGCTGTTTACTTTCCCGCCAGAGCGGTGCCTATTTATCTACTTGCACTTTGACGTGCTTTCGAACTGCTAGGTTGGCAGGAGCAGGGACCAAGCAAAGGGAGCTCACCCCGTCACGGGGATTCAAACCGCCGACCTTCTGATCGGCAAGTCCTAGGCTCTGTGGAGCCTAGGACTTGCCACAGCTCCACCCACGCTATCTGGAGTAGCCAGATGCAAAAGCGGGCAGGTGTCCTTCACCTTTTGATAGTTGTTAGGAAGGGGGGATTTCTGTAGCTATAGTTCACCATGCAAGCTGCACCTGCTGAAAATTCCCTCTTCCACTCAACTATTAAAAAGTTCAGGAGCCTTGTCCTTGTTTGTATCTGGCCCAGCCTAAAGCTATCAGGGGGTAGGTATTTAGTATCGGTCAAAGACAGCCTTGCCACTCCCCACGCCAAGCCCTGTTGATATGATCTCAGCTCTAGATTTATTTGCATAGAGGTCCTTCTCCTCCTTGCTTGCCTCCAACTTGATACAGGGTGCTTGCCTCCAACTTGATACACTGCTGTACCATCTGAACTAGGAATAAGAGATCTTCTGACATTTTTATATGTAAAAACACTATATGCCTTTGCAGACCCCTTCAAAAGTACTGCATGAACAAGCAGAAAGGATTTTTAGAGCTTTGCTCTACAAATTTGTAGTATCATATAGGAAGTCAGCAGAAAAAAGGGAAACGGTAGAAGGAAACTTACATGCTGTATACCAAATAGTATTTTGACTCAGAATCAACCAATATCTGTGGCTTCAGAGTACTTTTAGCCACAAAAGGAAGATTAGATCATACAGAGAAGCTTAGCTAGCAACATGGAAAGCACCCAGATTTGCTTAAGAGGCCAACGGCCTTGTTACTGATTCTTCCTATAGGAAAGAAAATGGCATTAAGTGGAACACTATCTTAATAACGTTTTTTTTTCTCAGGACATTTCCATTGCCTAGGAAAGATAACCCTTCTGGCCTCTTTCAGAGCACAGTTGCAGCAATCAACACTCTTGGTTTTTTGCTTTGTGTTGGTTTTCAGTTTGATACTGAACACCCTTTTAATTAGAATTGGATGGACTTGTTTTCAGTGGAGTCGATTAGCTCTTCCTGCCCCCAGGACTGATTTGGATTGGAATCGGTACTTATGAGCAAAAGTGGAGAGTGCTTGGGAAGTTGTCTTTTTCTGTGAGTTTGAAATGGTGGAGACATTATGGTTGGACAAACCAATGGAGTGGCTAAGGTATTAAAGGAAATCCAGCCCAGTGTTCAAAGGTGCATTGTCTTGTGCATTGTCTTAAAAAGGCGGCACTGAAGAGCACCAGCCACTCTCCTGCAGTCTTCAAACACCATTAGCTGATGACTGCTACTGCTTCAGAAATGGTGGAGGGGGAGCTCTCTCTCCCCTGCACCAACCTCCACCCACAGCAGCAGAATGGGGGGGGGGATTTCAGGGGGGGGGCTCTTGTTCTTCCCAGCCTCACCACTTTTCCTTCCTTTCTTCTTCCCTACCATTCCTGACATCTGGAATGTTGGGGGAGGTAGTTCCTGTGAGCAACTAACGTTGTCTAGCAATCTGTGAAAATTGCACTCCCCAGTGTTCAAGGCACAGGGTAGGGAGGAGGTGGAACAGAGATAGGAGGAGGGAAAGGGAGAGTTCCTGGCTGTGTTGCTTTTGCTGCTGGATCAGCAGTCATATGGGTAGAAGGGAATTCTGCAGTTGAGATTAAAACCTGAGCCGGAGAAGAATTTGGAGGTTTTAGTGCTTGCCTCATTTTTAAGGTGACTCTAATGAGTTATTGAGGTTCATATTCATAGGTTTGGTAATGTGTCTGTCTGTGACTTACTTCCAAGTATGTGATCTTAGCCACTTAGGCTATTTATTCGTGCCTATCTTTAGTTGTGTGCAACCACAATAATAATGCATCCTAATACTGAGTTATATTTAAAATATTTATAGCCATAGCAGCACTGAAACAATTTAAAAGCAAGAATATAACTCCAGGCATCCAAAAACAACCAGGAAAGAATCACCAGTTTCAACAAATATGGCTGTCAAAGTACCCTTGGCTAAAACATGACAGTGAGAGGGGCACCATGTACTGTGCTTTGTGTCGGAAACACAATGTGGATTTAGGGGAGAAAACACACAATTTTTGTTCTGGGACTGATGACTTTGTACTTGAATTAGTCAACGACCACCACAACAGTGAAGCTCATGCATGGGCTACCTGTATGGAAGCAGCCAGTGGCTCTGTCCCAGACACAGCTACCACTGAGCAGATGTTAAAGAGCATGAGCAAAACAACCTTAGGAAGAATAGAAAACCTTTTCAGAACATGCCACGCCATTGCCAAAACTGGACGCCCCATCACAGACCTGGACTGGATGTGTAAACTGGATGATATGAAAGGAGTGGATATTGGTTCCATATTTAGAAATGACAAGGCAGCAAGGATTTTTATTCATTTCATTGCTGAAGTGGAACGAAGAGCCTTGAAAGAGAAATTAGAAAAATGCAAGTTCTTCTCACTCATTAGTGATGGTGTTACAGACAGCACAATAAGAGAAGCTGCCCTGGTGTATGTACGTTTTGCACTCCAAGGGAAGATCCACTGCCAGATTGTTGGAGTTCAGTCAGTAGACAAACATGATGCAGCTGCTGTGAAGAATGCCATTGTGCAAACATTACAGACCAGTTTGCAGCTCAATTTGCCAAACCAAGACTGGGCGAGAAAACTTGTTGGCTTCGGAAGTGGTGGTGGAGACATTATGGTTGGACAAAGCAATGGGGTAGCTAAACTGTTAAAAGAAATCCAGCCATGTGTTCAGAGTGTGCATTGCCTCGTGCATCACCTTGAAATAGCTTACAAGGCAGCACTGAAGAGCACCCAACTATACACCATTCTAACAGAGCTCTTGCAAAACATGTACTACTATTATAACTCTCCACTGAACAAGAACGACCTCAAGCTAGTCTATGAAGAACTCAACCTGAGAACATCCATTCCTTCTCGAATTGGTGGCTCCCGATGGCTTCTTCGCCTACAGACAGCTCTTCAGATCCTTCTGAAAGGATACCCAGCATTTGTCCTACACATGAGTAAGGTAAAGGCTCTTTAAAACCAAGCATGATTTGAAGAAATAATAAGTGAAAAACTGCATTTGGTAATTGCTCTACTGTTTTTCTTGCATCCAGGTAGAAGAAGAACCATGTTCCTCAAATCACCAGAAAGCCAAAGACCTCTTAAAGCTTCTTCTGAAAACAGACATTGTCAAGTTTTCTCACTTTTTGCTTGATGTCATTAACGTCCTCAACATCCTCTCCCGCGTCGTCCAGGATCAGAACTCTTCCATCGCAGATGTGTTCGCAACAAGCCAGTCAACACTGGAAACACTCCAAATGTATCGAGCAAGGTTGTATATGCTTAACCAAAACTGTATATTAACTGGATTTATCCAAATCAAAGGCACACAGTACATTCGTTAAATGTAATATTTTTTCAGATCGGGGCCAAGGGAGCGCCTGGTGGAGGCCATCACACATTTTCATGGTCACCAGCTTGTAGGAGATGGTGACATATCAGCCATCCGGATAGAATTAATAAGCAATCTTTTGAAGCAGCTGCGCGATTGCTTCTGTGATGCTAGCGAAGATGTTTTGAGAGCAAGCGCTATTGGAAGTTTTAAGCTGTGGCCAGACAAAATTGAACCAGGTACAGAAAACCAGACTACATCCAAAGGGATTGTTTCTTTCTGAAATGCATGGGTAGTTTGTTTGCTTTTAAAATTAATGTTCAACCTCTTGCAGAATTTGGTGAAGTGGAAGTGTCGGTCTTGATGAAGTATTATGAGCCGGTCCTGGAATGTGCCAATGTGAAGATTTATGAAGTAGAGACCGAATGGAACATGTTAAAAGCAGAGCTGTATGATAGGTATAATAAATACCTATAAATAACAAGCAGGACATGAAATTCAAACAAATTTTCTGAATATGTCAGTGGGCAAAACACATTTAGTAACAGTTCTTATCTTTTCTAGATATCAGAGCATCCGGAGATTGACATGGGAAGCAGTGAACACAGATTATTTTCATAAATATCCAAACATCTTGACACTGGTAGATCTTATCTTGACGCTACCTGCCAGTTCTGACGAGGCGGCACGAGGCTTCTGTCAGATGAAACTTACAATGATGAGGCTACGTTCAAAGCTGGTGTTTGAAAGCATGACCGATCGCATGGTCATTCTAATGAATTCTCCAGATATCAAGAAGTTTGACCCCCGAAAGGCTATCCAGTTGTGGAATATTTCCTCGCAAAGGAATAGGAGACTACAGGCTGAGCAGGGCGTGGTCAACCCTGAGACACCAGATTGTTCATCTGACTCTGAATGGGAAAGGGAAAGGGAAAGCTCATTTGGAAGCTATTAGATGTGAAACACTCTCTCCAGCTGTCTCCTCAAATATTTTTAATAATGTGCGTTGACTTTTCCTTTTTTTTCTTTTTTCTTTTTGGTAACTATTTACTGGACAATTTCTATTTATTTATTTATTCAACCACAATTTATATACTGCTTGATTATAATGGAACATCTAAGAGCACATATAATGGTGTCATGAAACTAACACATACACTGAGATGGGAAGGGAGAGAAATAAGAAATATGTCTTTTGGAAAATTTTTGGAAAAGCTGTATATATTTCTTATCAAACTGCTAGGTATTGTCAGAATATGCTTATCAGGTATTTCTTTTGAAATATGTGGTATTGGATTGGCATATGAAATTACCAAGTATCATTTTTGTCTATATATGTGTGTGTGTGTATGGTTCGTTTTTATAAATTGAAGTGTACGCTCTTGACTCCTTGATGGAACTTCATAGTCTTCCTTCTTTCTGTTAAGCTGCTCTTAAGTTGATTTTAATTCATCACTGTCTTTCTATGCGCTTGGAATTTTCCAATATATTTATAGCAAGTGTTTAGGAATATTATGATTCTGGCTAGATACTGAACAATGAAAACAATAATTTGAAATAACTGTTTATTATCCTGTATTGTATTGCAGAAATTATTTTATCCCTGTTACGGTTATTAAGGATAAGCAATTATTTCTACTGTTTTTACTGACATCTTATTTCCTGTTCATTTTCATTCTTCTGGAGATTTGACATGTAAAAATAATTGCCTGTGGGAGGGAAATAAGTGTTGATTCCCTCAGTACTTTGGACTTCCAAAATTGTTCCGAAGAGTCACAGTATTCATTCATGCATTTCTTCATTCTTAATTGCTGCAACTGTTCTACTTAGTGTTTAACTGGATTAAAAACAAGCAATGGAAGAGAACACTTTTTATCAAACGTCTAACTACGAAGGATGCCAAGACACTTAATTTTTCTTATCTGCAAAATAACAAGAGAAAAGAAGAGATGAGACTTTCAGTGCCAGCAGAAACATGCAGAATGAAATATCTTTGTAGTAAAAATAAGTTGAGGATATTGCCTCCTTTACACATCAAGGATATCACCTGCGGATAAGACATCTTAAATGTTCCTGGTTCTAGAAGGTATCACAGCATCATCTCTTGTACCTTGATGCTTTCAGATTCAATAGCTGCAACCATAGATGTAGAACGCCACTACTTTTGAATGCATGCGTAGCTTGATTAACTGGTTGACCAATGTAGCGCTTGCTAAAAGTAGTCATAGCCAAACAGGTCATTGTGCATTATCTAGCAGCAGTAAAGGAACAAACCCATTTCCCTTTTCCCTCCATAGTCACTACTTGGCAGAGGTAGCTAAGAAGACAGAGAAGAATCCATGGGGCACAAATTGCATGGGTGCCCCATACCTCTGTTTTTCGACCTGTTTCGCATAGTGAATGTCCATACAAATACTGGTTTCCACTTAGATGCACTGTAGTCAAATGACTGTAGAAAAATACATTCTTAAAATTTATAATTTAAAAAACGCATACTTTTAACACATTGTAAAATGTATAACAGGGACGCGGGTGGCGCTGTGGGTAAAACCTTAGCGCCTAGGACTTGCCGATCGTATGGTCAGCGGTGCGAATCCCCATGGCGGGGTGAGCTCCCATCGTTCGGTCCCAGCTCCTGCCCACCTAGCAGTTCGAAAGCACCCCTAAGTGCAAGTAGATAAATAGGTAAATAGGTATAGCGGGAAGGTAAATGGCGTTTCCGTGTGCTGCGCTGGTGCAGGCTCGCCAGAGCAGCTTTGTCACGCTGGCCATGTGACCCGGAAGTGTCTCCGGACAGCGCTGGCCCCCAGCCTCTTAAGCGAGATGGGCGCACAACCCTAGAGTCTGTCAAGACTGGCCCGTACGGGCAGGGGTACCTTTACCTTTTTTACCTTGTATAACATTTTTGTGGATGACAGTAATAGTACCCAACTCATTATCATTTTTCTCTCTCACAAAATCAAAGCTTTGTCATTTAGGAATCAACCAACATTTCAGATAGTCACATAATCAAATGCACCATTGTGCACATAGATCAAGTGGGGTGGGTGCAAGCAGCATTTGGCATGTACTGAAACTTAGAACCACCCTTTCCCTCCCTACTGTGGACTGGAGGAAATTACCTCCCCTGAAGGTGCTTTTTGCGTTGGGTGGAAATCCACTATTATAATTCTTAAGTTGTTATTCTATAAACTGCTTGGCTTAAGCTTCTATCCGTAGTTTCTAAAAGCTGTGCTGCATGGGAGCTTCTCTTTTAAAAAAATAGAAATAAGGTTACATTTTTTTACTTGTAGCAGCTTTGATTCCTCTGCAAACATCTCATACTTCCTCTAAGGATCCACTGTACACATTGCCGTCTTTCAGCTTTAATTATATGAAATGACAACTTGCCTAATTTGGATCAGATCTCCCCCAACTTTATTTCATGTATATCCCACTTTTCCTACAAGGAAGTCAAGGCCTCCTTCCGCTTTAATCCACCCTGTGTGGTGGGTTAAGCTAAGACTGGCCCAATGTCACTCAAGCTTCATAGTTGAATAGGATTTGAACCCTGTTCTCCCTGGAGTTAGGCTGGCTCTCTAGCCACTACAACAAACCCCCTGGGCTCATGACAAAACATAGGCTGCTGGCTGCAGTATCTAACTGGCAGGCTACATTTGACTTGCTGGGTCACAAGCCAAGACCATTTTGCTCAGAATTGTCTGCACTAACTGGCAGAACCTGGGACCTTCTGCATGCAAAGCAGATGATCTATCACAGGGCTGTGGGTCTTCCCCAAATGGTCACCCACAAGTCAGAATAATGTGATTTTCATAAGCTGCACTTTCTGAGGTTCAAGTACTGCATCAGATGCCAATAAGAAAAAACACCCAGGCAACCAGCTCAATCCTATACATGCCTGCTTGGAAGTCGGAAGTCAATGGCAATGTATTCAGCATGGACTACTCTCCAAATAGCTGTGCACAGGATTTCCCTTTAAGTGTAGCTGCATTTCATACAAGTTCCCATCGTTAGCTTCATACCTCTGCGATGGATCAGGCAAAACAAAAACGAAGAAAAAACTGCTTGTTTGCGTTACAAAATCAGGAAAGTCTCAAATTAATCTGCACAGTGCTATACATAGATTTTCCTATCTGATTTTAAGAACCAATTATCCTGCAGTTCTAAAGAAAAAGAAAAAGAAATTAGAATCGTAGACACAGTGAATGTTTATTGACACACTGGGGCTTACTCCTGAGTAAACATGCGTAGGATTGTGCTTTCAGTTTCTTATTGTAGTGTTATTGAGTAAATTGTACAGCATGTATGGCTACGCATAGAATTTTTGACCAAAAAAGCCATGATGCGGTGTGCAACTACATTTACAGTGTGCAATTACAGTCTTTGTGTAATTAGGAGATAAAAACGAGAGGTTTTTTTCATCAGGAAAAGTCAGATTTTAAGATTATAACAGATTTTAAACTGTTCATATCAGTCCCAATGTGATACTTTTCTTTTCTTTTGTCATTCGTCTAGGTTTAATACCAAGCAAAACATTCATTGACATTGTTTATGACTTGATTACTTTGAATCTTGGCTCAAACTCACTTCCTGATGCTTGGCTACACCTCTCCATTTATGATGTGAGTGCTCACTGTGTCCGCTATTCTTGTGATTTTTGACAGTCATTTGCTGTGTTGACTTGATGTACAATTGAGATGCTTACAATTTTAAATGGATGCTTACATTGCTAGAATAGGATACCTGTCTTTATTATAGAATTTATAGCCTTTGGGAGCTAATGGCCTTACGATTAAAGAAGAAAGAGGTAAAATACAGCAAAAGCATTTTTAAAAAGTAACTACATTAGCCATCCACAAAACAATAAAATGTAGTTAGCATAAAAAAAATGATTATGGAAGCAAACCAGATTGCACTGCAACTTCTGTTTAACAAGTAAGGCATACATCTCTTTTGTTTACGAAATTGATCAGGTACACAACAGTACTAGCAAATAAACCCAGCTTGTTATCTGCAAAGATATGTTCCTGGCTGCCATGTCAATTTGTTTGTATGCCGGGCAGCCACTGAAAATTTCTTCCTCCCAAAATCCAATACTTGTAGGTGAAATTAAGGAGGCTTGTTGAAATCATAGAATTGGAAGGGACCCAAGGGTCAGACTAGTCCAATCCACTGCATAGCAGAAACCTCAGCTAAAGCATCCATGACAGATGGCCATTCAACCTCTGCTTAAAAACCCTCAAGGAAGGAGAGTCCATAACTTCTCGTGGGAGCCCCTTCTGCTGTCAAACAACTCTTGCCACCAGAAAGTTCCTCCTGATGTTTCATCGGAATCTCCTTTCCTGTAACTTGAATCTGTTGGTTTTGGTCTTACCTTCTGGAGCAGGAGAAAACAAGCTTGCCCCATCTTCTATTTTGACAGCCCTTATTTATTTGAAGATGGCTATCGTATCTCCTCTCAGTCTCCTATTTTCTAAACATACCCAGCTCCCTCAACCATTCCTCATAAGGCTTGGTTTCCAGACCCTTGATCATCTTGGTCAACCTCCCCTGCACACATTGCAGCTTGTAAATATCCTTCTTTGGAATTCATTTTGTCAGTATTGGCCCAATTCTCCAATCTTCTAAGGGTCATCTTGAATCCCGGTGCTGTCTTCTGCAGCATTAGCTACCCCTCCCAGTTTGGTGTCACCTGCAAATTTGATCATCCCCTCAATTCCTTCATCCGTTATTGATAAAGACGTTGAACATCAAGGAGCCCAGAACAGAACCCTGTGGCACCCCTCATCACTTTTTCCAGGATGACAAGGAACCTTTAGTTGAGTTCAGTCAGTCAACCAGCTACAAATACATGTCTGCATTCAAATGGAGGCAAGGCTACCTTGCTTTCTGCTGGAGCACTGTCTCGTGTCACAAAGCAGAAGTCCTTTGTTGAGACAAGGCGTTAAAATGTCTCTTTTGAAAAAAGTTCCCTGCAATTGATGTCATGGACTATATTTCTGCCCAGTTTCAGCTTTCTGTCTGTTTGGGGAGCAGTCAGTGATTTTAAAGCCAAAGGATTCTTCTGTCTGTATAAGATACACGGTGCATAAAATGGTCCTGCCCTTAATTACCCATTCCACTTGCTTTTACTGTGATAAGTAAACTTGTGTATGTTTGGATGTTACAGTTGCAGGGCCTGGCAGCAGCGTTAACAGTGGACTCAGACACTGTGGACTGGCGTATATTCTTGCAAGCAGCTTCCCAGCCTTGGCCTCTGCCCTCAGTGACGGAGCTTCTTGAAACGCTGCAGAGATTCCAGGATGTGGATGTGGATGGATCGGGCTTTGTCACAGAGGAAGAATATGATCAGGTCCCAATTCTTTCTTTCCTCCAGTTTTATTTTTGTGGCTGTGAGTCCCAGTGAAACCAGTGGGACAAGCAGCCAGCCAGTCTTCACACCCTGGGGGCCACAAGCCCTGAACTGGGATGGAGGGAAAATTCAGTTCCGTTCACATGTAAAGCCCAGTTTACCAAATTTGCAGAATATGGAAGCCAAATCAATGGCTTCCTTCCAAACTCCCTCTTATCTGAATTTTGCAGTGCCGTGCCCCAAGCACACAGTGTTCCCAGACATGCATACACCAGGGGGAAATGTGCAAAAATATCAAGGTATTGGAGAAAATAGCATAGCAAAATGAATTCTGTTAGGAGACATAGTTTGCAAAGATGTGGACATTAGTCAAAGCTGCATACAGAAATATGGTTTTTTAGAAGAAATTTGTCCTAAAATGCTAATGAAGTTTTGTGAGGATTTTTTTAAAAAAACAAATTGCTTCAGAAATGTGGAGAACTAAACTTAAGATAATAAAAATGAGAAGTGGAGAGAACCAAAACTGACAGCTCCTTCTGCCCCTAGTCATTCATGCACCAATGTGGTTTTTAATTTCATTTTAGCCAACACGGGCCCATCCACCCAACATCCTAACCGTAAGGCCAGTGTACCGACTTCAGAGCAAGCCGCTCTGAACACAGTGAGACTTCTTCCCAAGTAGACATGCATAGGACTGTGTTATAA